TGGGGGCGTGTGGACCACCCCGGCGGCCCCCCGTCTGCTCTTGGGGATGCCTGGGGCAGAGCAGCTGGGGTGCTGCCGGGTTGGTCCCGCAGCACCGAGGGGCGCATCCCCCCCCAATCCACCCTGACCCCTCACAGCCCCCCCCTTCCGATAGTCCGGCATATCTGATAATCCTGCACCCCCTGAGTCCTAAAGGTGCCGGATTATCAGAAGTTAACTGTACTATCATTGTACCTACACCAATAAAAGGCTTGATTTTGGCTCAGGTACCTTTAAGTCTCTTTACAATGCTGCAAGCACCAGTTTTTCCAAAATGGTACAGTGGTCAAACCATTTGGCACAATTAAAAATTATTAATAAACTGTTAAAATCACTGCATAACAATTCGTTAGTTAGAAATAACAAAACACAGTTTCACCAATCTTTTGTGATCTAATTAAAAAAATCAAGCGGACTTTCTTAAATAAAATCACTTGTGCACATATGAATACCTATATAAAATAACAGAAGTGGCTGTACCTATAGAGGAAGACTGTGGGCTAATCAAGAGATCTTCCTGAACTTGTTCACTTCCTGGGACTGTCTGCTGATCACTGAGAGAACTCTGGGATGCGCTAACAGGCTGCGATACTTCTTCATGAACTTCCTCATCACTTAACCTTTCCACTTTGACACGCACATCTTCTTCAATCACAAGAGGTGAACTGGCCTTTGTGCTCTCACATGTCACATAATCAGTAATTCTTCTGGTTGCCTCAGATGGACCAGGCAACTCTAAAGTCCTAGAATTCTCCACCTGCTTCACCTTCTCAGACTGAAGCCTTCGATCAATTCCAAAAGGAAAAGTCCAAGGAAAAGCTAAGGAAGAGTCTACTGGCTGATTTCTGGACTCTGTGTAGGAAGCTGAAGGATTAAGCACTTGGGGGGAGTTCGTCTGTGTGTTACACTTAAGTGGACTTTCAGGAGACATGACTATATAGCTTTTTCGCTTTCTTCGGGACTCTCGACAAACAGGAATGGCTCTTTCCACCACACTGCATTCCGAAGAAACCGGTGAAAGGCTGCCATCTCGAGAGGTAAAATTGCAGTTTGCACTGTTTTCTTGTCCTGCATCTAGCACCTTGTCTTGTTGGCTGCTGGGCGTATTCCATAAAATGCTCGACTTCATGAATTCTGAGCATGTACTGGCAACACTGAACATTTGCATGTAGCTGGCTGCAGCCAAGACATCAATAATATTTTCTGTGTTGATAGATAGTGTGGCTGTATAGGCATACTCCAGAAGGGGTATAAAGCCAGTCACTGTCACATGATGCAAGTCTAATACACTCTTGCTGTCATCTTCAGCTTGGCCAACTAGTTTGGAGCGGAAGAAGTCGCTGCAGGCTGCCAAGACCACCTTGTGTGCCCGGAAGATTTTGTCCTGTACGCGAATGGTGATGTCGCAGAAATGTCCATCATTGCGAAGCATGTTAAGCTTCCCAAGCATCTCCTGGCTGTGGGCAGGGGAATTATGAGTAAAGGTTTTTACGCCCATTTTTTCACGTTTGCTGATGCTCTTTTACCATGCAAATGGTCACACGTGTCCTAAAAGACAGAAAAAACACATTATCTTTTGTCATTGTTATCAGAGATTATATTAGGTTTATTCTATGAGAATGCACTAAACCATTCATATTTTGTAATAAAGCAAATGAAATGTGAAAGCCAAATTATCTGAACTCGGCCAATAACATCAGCTCTGCAGTTATTTGCTTAAAGAAATTACCCTGATCAGAGTTTGGTAACGGAGACACTTCTCAACTTCTGAGATAGAACATATGATCTCTTAAGAAAAACAAAAATACAAATTTAACTAATCTATTGCTCAGTTCTGAGTCTTTAGGATTTTTGTGAAATGGTCCTGTAAACTGAAGAGACTGGCATTGGTTTGGGCTGGGATGCAAATCTGGAGAATCCCACAAACTTCTCAGTGAATGTTCTTTTTAGAGCCCATTGTAGGAATATTTAGAAGGCAGAACTCATGCTAGCGCAAACAGAACAGCTTTTGACCATAGCTAAACCGCGCTGCTGGTAGCATAGGCAGTGAATGCCTAAAGCTGTTTCCAGTGAATGATTTTGGTCTAGGATGAGAGGTTGTTGAAAATTCCTCCAAAACAAAAATGCATTGTAAACCTCAAAGTACAGTTCTAGTTTACTAAATCAAATATACAACAACAGATTTTACATGTAAGGTAAAGAAAACACAAGGGACGTAACATCTTCTGTTACATATCTATTGCTAAAACAATGTAGACACAGAACACCACTTCCAACAATTTTTTTAGGGACAAATCCTTTCTTTGGTCCTAATCATAGAATCATAGAACCGGAAGAGACCTCAGAAGGTCATCAAGTCCAGCCCCCTGCCCAAGGCAGGACCAGTCCCAACTAACTCAACCCAGCCAGGGCTTTCTCAAGCCCAGACAAACACCTTAATGTACATTGGCAAGGCACTGCACTGTAACCTCACTCAACAGTGTGAAAACCCATCTCCCAGTGCAGCAAGTTACAGCACTGTAAAGCGCCAATATAAACAGGCTCCCAGTGCTGTTAGCTACTCACCTCGGAGGTGGGTTATCTAGAGCACTGGGAGAACTCTCTCCCAGCACTCCTGCCATGACCACACTGCAATGTTAAAATGCTGCCAGGCAGCAATTTTAATTAAGGCTGTGTCTAACCTGCTCAATTTAAAAGGCTTACAATTTCCTGGCGGCATGGAAGGAACAGAATCCTCTCCTCTAAGCTACAGAAGACACATCTGCAAGCCACTACTGACTGTTTGAGGCCTAATGACCTCCATTCACAATGGTCCAGTGACCCCTATATAGAGACGTGCAAAGAGTCCTTGCACAGCGATGCTCCATGTGCTTCTTCTGCTTGCATCTATTGCAAGAGAACCATACCATTTCTGCTGCTTGCATAATCCTTTGCGATGGCAGAGGAGGACAGAATTTGTTTGTAAATGAGGAGACCTAGTTACTGAGGCAGGTTCAATCAAGTATTCAATTGTTAAAGGGAAAACAAACTATTATTTGTTACTTATGGCCATGAGCATACACTCCTTACATGAACAAAGCTCCCAATTAAAGCTGAGATCCCATTTTCTTCTGTGTTGTGTGTTTTATGCAGTTCAGAAGAGACTGGATGCATAAATAAATAAGGTGCTTTTCCATATTTAAATATCAGTGACAGAATTATATCTGTTTGGCTGACAGGAGTAATAGCCTCCTCCGTTCTAGCGAACACAATTGCTTTCTCTCTCTCACACATACAAATCTGCAAGCTGTTTTGTACAAGTGGATGCAGGAGGCTGCCTGCGTGGAACAGGTTGCAGATTTGCAATCTTAAAATTAGGGATGTAAGAGGTTAACCAGTTACCTAGTAAGCACTAAGCTTATTGGCCTGCTTACCCAATAACTGGTTAGACAGCCTGTCCGTGGGGGGCCGAAGCAGTTAACTGGTTAAACAATACAATTTCAATCATTTAACAGGTTAACTATTTTAATAGGTTTGTACATCTCTACTTAAAATATACTTAAATAGTGGCCGTCAGAGCCTTCTGGTAAATTTGTCATTACTCATTCTATTACCAAATATGAGCCATATTTCCCCCCTCTCATTGTCTTGCTCCTGTTAACTTCACTCTTCATATTGCAAACTACTTCAGACAAAGAAAAGCATTACTCCTTCTGCAGCACAGACACTGACTAACATTACAGATCCAGTCACACCACTAATCTAGTTCAATAACCAGATGTTTTGAGAGGAACATTAACAATTTATGAAGTCCAAGTCAAATTATGAGGACAACTTGGATTTAAAACGGAATTTCACACCACTATGAAGGGAGAAATTAAGCATAAACAAAACATTTGGCAAGGCCATGTCCTAACAGGTCAGGCTTACCGGTTCCAGTGAACCAGTGGGGGCTGGAGCAGCTCCAACCTCGCAGGGCCTGCTGTGGATGGAGGATGCTCCAGCCCGGCCAGAGAAGCCTCTTGGCAGGGCCAGGCTGGGTGCACCATAAGCAGGGGGGCTCCAGCCAGGCAGGAGCCCCAACTGGGCTAGAGCAGTCCTCCTGCTTGCCCCCTCCTTTAATCAGTTAACTGGTTAAACATTAAACATCCCTAATTAAGAGTTTTTACTTTGTGAAAAACATTGAACATTTATTTATGCAATAAACTACCATTTATTGGTCTAAAATACCGATCATCTTGCTGATTTACATAATGAGACGCCATACAGCAATTACTTTACAAGACTCAGTAGGGTTCAGCACCAAAAATGAGAAAATGGGGTTTTAGGGGTGGAGGGTAGGCGCTATATAGCTCGCAAAGCGGTACCTTTTAAACTTTACCTGAAGCAATGTCCACACCATTGCTATCTTAATTGTAAGAAGCTTAGTGGTCAGTTTGACTCTATTCAAAACATCAGCATGTCTATACACACACAGGTCTGCTGTTATACCCCGCAGCCTTACTAGCAGTACACTTAACTGCTTTAGCAGCAATGCTTTCTGGAGATACACGTCCGAGCAGTGCCTCATGGAGGACTACGCTGGCCTACAAGAAAGTTTTGCATGTGAGACTTCAGACAGAAGGGTCAGTTTCTTAGCTCCTACCACCTATCCTGGAAAATGCTAAGATTCCTTTGGGGGAGAAAGGCTCTCATAATTCCCACAGTGCCACAAAGCTTATTATGTAATTTCCTTGCTAATGAAAGGTGGACCCGAGCTCCAAGCTGCGTCCACAGCGGCCGTCTCTTTACAGGCATGGATTCTCATGGGGGAAGAGAGCTGTCAAACAAAAGTCCTTTTCCTGGATTTCCAAAGTCACATGCCAGATGTTGAGGTGGTGGCAGGTAGTCTAGCATTACTAGCTAACTACCTGATGTGAGAAATGCCCAGTAAGAAGAGGTCTCAGATGACTTCAGCGAGTAGCTGCATTGTTTCTTCACAGATGGAGGGAACACTCAAGCAGCAGTATGAGCCACAAGCTCAGAATGATTACATTAGATCAATAGTGATTCCCAAACTTATTTAATCCGGCTCTCCTTTTTATCTGTAGTCATTACGCCCTCTCCTCCTCCCAGGGATGCACATATACAGCCATACAGCTTTGAAGGCAGAGCAGAGCACAGCATCTGCTGGCATCCAACTGTGAAGTCTCTGCCATGCCAGCAGTAGCACAGAAGAAAGGCAATGTGAAAAGTGGCATTTGTCTTAGCATACCATTGCCACCCTTACTTCTGCACTGTACTGCCACTCCAGGGCTGTCAGTCAGAGCCTTGCTGCCTCCCAACTAGGTGAGGGGAAAATGGGAAGGAGAGTGCAAGCCTAGGCTGTCTCTGGATGAGGAATTTGGGAGGGAAGAGGGGAAGAAGATCCTGAGGCCTGGCAGCGAGGTTATGGCTGTCCCCTTGGGTGGTGAAAATATTACTTGAAACAGGATTATATGAAGTGCAAGTAACACAAATGCATGCCTTTAAACATAGCTTTATTGGAAGTAGAGAAGGTAGACCAGCTGCCAAAATGTAACAAAAGACTATATCTGAAACTGAAAAAAGACAGTACACAGTGCACCTGGCATTGCCAAGAAAGCAATGCTTGCGGTAAGACTAACATTAGCTTCCAAATGTGAATTTTTTTATACCTCAATTAGCTACACAGGTTTTCCTATGGAACCTTAAATGCACATTCCCAACAAGGAAGCCTGGAGCTACTCTTCTTTGCAACTCCTTGGAGATAGTGGAGTACATCACTTCAGGGTGCTGATTCTCACTCCCTCTTCTCAGCACTGGCATGCACAGCTTATGGTTGAGATTTGCTCCAGCTGTTTAAAGTATCAACAGTCCTCTATTCTGGAGTTCATTATTACCTGGAGGTGAGAGAGAGGATGCAAGCAGAGCGCTTGAGGCCGAGAGAGCAGGATGGCTTGAGGGTTTCTTTGTAAGCACCTCAAATTCCCTGAAACTTGTGTCTCTGGAATTCCCCATCCTTTCAGATGTGAATGGAGGACAAACACATTCAGTTGTCAAACTGCTTGTCATCCTCTTTCGGCAACCTGAAGTCTCCCTTTTCTAAGCGCCAGCTGAGAAGTATACTAGCAGAGGTATGACCACCTCTGAAATTCAAGCAGCCTGCCACGCTTTGAATTGTTCTCCTGGCATGACGACTGAAAAACATGTCCAGTAAGGACATGGGTCTTCTTGATTCAAACCTGGGATGAGCAGCATTAAGAGGGCCTGTAGGAAGAGACAAAAGTCTACTGTCAGTGTCCACAGCAACATACCACCAATTCCTTTCAGCACAGGAAAGGGAAACACGCATCTCCACTTTTACATTGCAGTATAGAATTTCTCCAGGAGACATGGGTACCAACACAATAAGCTATAGCCTTCCCTTTAAGTTTCTCAAAGGCTATCAAGATATGGGAATTTGATCCTTAATGAAAATCTACTTTTTTAAAAGAGGAGAGGTGTCCAACAATGTCACACGTGCAGAAAATCACAAATATGGATCACTTCCTCACAGTTCAGGCTGACACACAATATGTTGCAGATTTCTGAATGTGAAAGGCCCCAAGTTTTCCAGGCAACAAGAGAAAAGCCAAGAAGCTATACTACAGTGCCATTTTGGCATTTGAAGACATCTGCTGGATGCCTGGAAAGGTGACGTCAGCTGTGAAAAGGAGTGGGGTTGAAGGAGAAGCAGGTCATTCCTATAGGCCTCAAGAAAAATGTGGAATATTGCAAAAAAAGGGAAAGTTTCTGATATTGTACCACAAGTGTGGATACTGCTTACATCCATAAACAGATTAAGGTAGAGGGTCTGTAATATCTGCATTACTAACATGATTTAGCCTATATTCTCACTGCTCTGAGTGCACTTCATACTGCTATACAGGCAGTCCCCGGGTTACGTACAAGATAGGGACTGTAGGTTTGTTCTTAAGTTGAATTTGTATGTAAGTCGGAACTGGTACATATTGTAGGGGAAACTCTAGCCAAACATTTCTCCAGAGCTCAGTTTTATTCTCCCACACCTCACTTCCCTCAGTCCTTTATTCTCAAGCTGAGGTGTCTGCTGAGAAAAGCCGCTCCGCGTCTCCCTGGTCTGCTGGGGGGAAGCAGCTAGTGCGGGGTTGCCTCACCCCGTTTGTAAGTAGGGATCTGATGTAAGTCGGATTCATGTAACCCGGGGACTGCCTGTATTTCCTTTTAGCACATGATCCAAGCCAATCAGATAACCTGAGTGTGAACTCTAGTTTGAAAATAACTTGCATTGTCCAAGCACTACTCTGGAATGTCCAAATGCATCCGTGGAATAATCTGTACTTGTTTGCTTATTTGTAGAAGTGGGATGTCACACTGGGGTAAAAATGCCACCTGCAACTCCTGTGTTCTGGAAATCAGCTTGTATTACAGTATGGGTTCCCAGCCTAGGAGTGGAATGTCACAACCAGCACCCATACTTTATTGATGGCTAGATGAAAGAACACTGTTCCTTTGATACAATGGGGTAAGAAAGCAAAAGGCTTTCCATTGTTTTTAAGCAATAAAACCCTCTATCATAGTTTAGTTAGCTTTTCATTTTCCCCCTTGATTATCCACCACTTTGCCTGCGGTCTGTACCATGGCAACAGGCAAACAACAGTAGGGCATTCTTTCGTTGTTCAGCAACTGTGCCCCAGGAACCTCACCAGAGATGCCATAGGTAGGGAGGTTGGTGGGAAGGTGGTGGTCAGAGTCCTGCCAAGAGATCAGATTGCAATTGCGATGGAACCCATGACCATAGAGATGGATGGAAAATGTTGTGCCCAAATGGAGTTTTATGTGCCAATAATGGCTGCCTCCATAAAACCTCAAGAGTGTCCCCCCTCCCCAAGCCAAGTAAAGGAGTATAATAAATAAAAGTAACTTACCAGCCTTGTACTAAGGCAGAATTGCATAATGTAATTCATTTAATGAGAAAATGGAAAAAACATTGGTAGCACTTCTGGATTTACTTTTTTTTTTTGGTCTTTTTGTCTTCTTGTAAGCCACCTTCATTCCCTTGATATGGCTTTCATTCTAGCTTAGGAAATTTCCACCTTGGCATGACGACTTAATCTCATTGTAAGCCTTATGGTGTCTGTTTAAAGAATCCTGCACTGCTGGTGCCTTGGCCCAGAAGACAGCCATAATTACAATGCCCATAATTGACATGCTCGAAGCATTGCGGGTCGCTAGATGCCAAGTATTATAGTTTTACAGTAGGTAGGTAACTAATTTACAGATGAAGCATGAAGCAGTTTGCTGATGAGTTGCCAAAAGAAGTTTGTTGCTGTGGAATCAGTCTACAACGGGAATGTATGTGACTAGTCAAGGAGATTTAAACAAGTAGCTAGTTTCTCGCCTCATGGACCCCTGAACAATGAAAGTTAGCTACTTGGCCAAAGAGGTCACTCCTGCAGTGCAAAGGGCCTAAGGAAGAATAATCTGACTTGTAAGTTGTAACACAAAATCAGTCTCCATCCACATGGACAGTTGCACAATAGAGCAGACATGAATGGCCATGGTCATAGTCAACCCTACCACAAACTCCAGTATGTGTAGAACAATTTCAAGTGTGAACTGGACACTTCAGTGATTTGTGTTTGGAAGCATGTTGTGCTAGAATACTACTAGAGGGAACACATGGTGTTAAATACAACTATAGCTTCTAGTCTATGGAAAGATCTAAAACAAGTTTCAAGGAAGATCACATTTTAGGTACGCCAACTTTGTCACTTCTCCTTTCATTAAATTGCTCCAATTTTAAACTAGGTTGCAATTACAGCCAAACACTGCTGCCAAATCTGTTTGGTTCAAACTCTGTTCTGATGAAGACTAGCTGTTATCTCTATTCTCAAGTAAAAATTCCTAGGATGAAAGGGAGAAGAGTCAGAAATGTTCAACTGTCTCATTTTCATTAGACTCCGTCAGAAATCTTGCTGGTACTAATAGCACGAATTTCAGCCTTCAAAATAAGAAAAACTATAGTCCGAATTAGAGATGTTAAATTTCAATTAATCAGCTAATGAGCAATTGATGGAATTTCCATTGATTAATCGATAGGTGGGGGTGCTTGCCATCCTCCTGCGCCTCTCCATTTGAAATGTACAAGAGCTGGGGATTGGAGCGGATTCTCACTGCTGCTCTCCCTTTGAAATGTACAAGAGCTACCCGTGGCTGTCGCAGGTTTTCCTCTGTGCCTCTTCCTTCGAAACATTTCAAAGGGAGAAGAGCAGCAGTTGGACTGGCAGGAGCCGGACTGTTTCAATCCCCGCTCACGCTGTTTCCCCACTGCCCTCTGCTTCCTCTGCCCCCCATGGAGATGGTGCTGGGGGAACTGGCTTTTAAGCCGGCTCCCTCTAGCACTGGGGCTGGTGCCCCCCGCTGCCTCTCTCTGATAGAGGCAACAAGGTGGGGGGAGGAAGGAACAACTAGTTGAGTTCCTACTAGACTTCTGAATAAGCATTTGCTTATCAAATAGTAGGGATGTTAAATTGCGGGTAATTGACTAATCGACTTTTTGCATTGACTATTTGATAGGGTGTCTCCACCTTTCAAGTATAGAAACAGCCCTAGGGCTGTCGCTACACTTTAAAGGTGAAAGCACCACATGGAACCCAGGATCAGCTGGTCCCAGGCTCTGTGAAGTATCCCTTTCTCCCCCCCCCCCACTCCCTTTTTCTGCTTCTTTCTGATTCAGAGCGGGGGGGGGGGGGGGGGGGGAAGGGGGAAAGCAACTAGTTGACAAGCTTGTCAACCATCCAATAAGCAAATGCTTATTGGATAGTCGACTAGTCCTTCATACCCCTATCAGGTAGTCGACTAGTTGCTTACATCCTTAGTCCCAATCATTTCAAAACTATAGTACAATTTTTTGCTCTTTCAAACAACAGATATAACGTAAATATTACATCACATGTAACTGCAAGGATTTTGGCAAAATTAAGAAAGAATCCATGTGCTCAGAAAAACCACAAAACTGCAAGTAGTCTGATAAATTCCAGAAGCCAGTAAGAAATTTTTTCCACTGCAGTCAATTTAATTTACACACATCTAAAACCAAGTTTTTTGAAATAACAGTTAGCCCAAGAAAAGCTTTACAGTATTTACTTTGCACTAATGTGTAAGCATTCGTATTTTTAAAAACCCAACATTTACTGATAAATAAAATATTACACCTAACACACAACTATCCCAAACCTTCCAATCCACTTCGAACTTTCTCCAAATCTTAGCTCATCAGCACCAAGTAACAGTTTAATTAATTGCAAAAAGCCATATTATTTAAAATATTAAGGTTACACAGTTAGTTGGAAAATTAAAGTTAACATTCTTACTATGCGAATAGTATTGTTCTCATTTGAGAAACATGCAGATTAATAAGCCTATTTATTTTCATCATACACAATATACATGACCTACAATATACAGTATACAGTTTAACATTCATGTAAAGGAATATTTTCAAGTTAACTCTAGTTAAGAATAGGGATGTTAAAATATGTTTAACTGCTGAAAATTTCAGCAGTTACACATTTAGGATACATCTACATAGCAGCATTATTTCAGAATAACTGATGTTATTTCAAAATAAATTGCGTGTCTGCACAGCAAGCCATTATTTTGAAATAATTTCAAGATGGAGGACTTCTTACTCTAACACCTGTAACCCTCATTTCATAAGTAAGGGAAGTTGAAGGAAGAACACTCTTCCTTTGACTTCCTGCTGCGTAGACAGTGCCAAACACCAAATTAAGCTATTTTGACTTCAGCTACGCAATTGATGTAGCTAAAGTTATGTATCTTAATTCAACTTTGCCCTGCAGTGTACACGTGCCCTTACATGCGTGGGGGAGATGGGTCCCTGGGAGTCGGTGCGCACAAGAAGCCAGCTTTTCCCTGCCTCGTGCTGCTGCCGCCGATACTGATACAGACACAGTGGGGGCGGTGGGAGTGCATGTAACTATAAAGGTTAATCCATGAGCCCAGGCTCATCCGTTAACTTTGTACATGTTTACACTATCACATCCCTAGTTCTATATGCTATTTTAAAAAGAAAAATAGTTACATTTGTCCTTTTTTGCTTCTTTATGATGTATCACGAAGGTCTGAAAAAAAAAAAGCCCATTACCATGTCCCTGTTTATGTTGGAAGTCTTCCGAGATTATAGAACAAAAGTGAAACTGGAGCAACTGAGAGCTGATCTAGAACAGAACTTTTAAAACTCAAGTAAACGGACAACTATTTAACTAGAATTAGTCAACACATTTGCCAGTCTGGATGCTCCTGGCACCTCCTCCCTGGGGGCCAGAAATGCGGACACCCTGTTGCACAGCCAGCGTGTCCGCTTGAGTCTTT